TCTAGTGAGAAGCCGTGACCAGTGGAGTTCAATCGGGTCTGTTGTGAGATAGTAAATCACTGATGACGATTGGTAGATGTGTGTCGCTCAATGTCGTGGTTTAGTTGAAGTTAAACATTAACACCGTTAAATGCCAACAGGTTCAATGGTTTAGTGGTTAAGCGTCTGCGCACGAGACTGATAAGTCAGTCAGTCAGCTGCAACGTAGGACCAGAAACATATATGCATCGGTCCAAGTTGCCATACCGCATTAGCACAACAAGATGAACACCGAATTCATAGAAGTAGTTAATTTAGCGATGATATACAGAAGAAAGATTGCATATAAGGATATAGTACAGGAAGAAAGAATTAGTTGGTAGAAAGAAAGATATGAAGTGATTTTAATCTCTTAGTTTGAAGGAAGACAAAGAGTGTATACATCGAAGTTGTACTGCTGACTGTACAGAGGTGTGACAGCAGTAAGGTGTTTCCTTCAGACAACCAGCATAACAGCGATGCTGCCTTCCCAAAAGGAGGGGTGGGGTTAGAAATGGTCGACCCTAAAAATGCACACCTCGCCTTATCCCACGAATATCCGTCTCCGGCTGTGAGGTTCCAATAAGTACGGAGCTAATGCAAAAATTACTTATAAAAAGGTCGTGTGTGACCGACCTCAAGCAGCTGTCCCTTGGGCACTGCGGTCACGCTCTCAGGTCACTAAGACCACCTCTAATCCAATTTCCTTTTCAGGTACCTCCTCCTCCTAGAGTGATAAGTCCTCGGTTCGAGTCTTTCTAGGAGCGATCGTGGATGCGCATCACAGTAGGACAAAACGGCCTTTGGGAAAAAACAACAGAGAACATATCAAACAGTTCCACCGCCACATTCATGATCTTACATAAGAACTTTAGATTTATTGAAATACTGCTGAAGAGTCCTACAGTAGGACGGAACGACCATCCCGTGTTTCTAAGTTTTCCATGATGGTCTTACTTCAATTGACTCATGATCTTAACCATTGAGATTACTAACTCGATTTAACCAAGCGTAACTCAATATTTATAGTCCGACCAAAAATAAGTTACAAACATTCTATGGATGAGGTAAGCCAATCAACACACATACGATCATATAAAAACAGTTCAAGTGAATAACTGATAAGATCAAATGTGGCTTAAGAAAAATGAATCAATTGATCTGTCCAGAAGGTAGAGTAATCTGTGTAAGTTTGACATCGTACTAATCACTACACTGAAAGTAACTTTTACAAAAAAATGTGTAGCTTAAAGTTGACTATACAAGTTTGTACCTAATTTTGGAATATTCTTTACAAAGGATATTTCAGTTCTAATGGTTTTAGGGAATGATATCGAACTAACTCTAACATGTGAACTGCTTTCAAGTTATTGCCAAGTGCTATTTATTGTTTCAATGTTTGCCTCCAATTCTTAGCGCCATGTATTCTTCGCATTGTCGCTTTACCTTTTGTCTTGAGGATTCGATGTTTAGGCTTGTTTCATGATGCAGTTTGATGATTTTCATGAAGCTTGATCTATTCACTTCCAGCATATTTTGTTTTTAGATGAACGCTGGTTTTCTCGCATAGTAGATTGTTTTTTGATGATGTCCGGTTAATAGATCTAGAGTTCTTTGCACTGATGACCGTTGATAAATACCTGCACTTTTTCAGATGATGATTATTACAGTTCTCCATTATTTCATTGTGCTTACATAGAAATCTGAAATTTTCGGGTTTGTTATCATTTAAATAGTTATAAATAGATACTTTGTATGTAGAAGTTTCATATAAAAATGAAATGTCTGTTCAATACCGTCTGATTTCCAGTAGCTAGCTTTCCAACAGAACTTATGGTGATATAAAATGTGTATTCGGGAGTTAATGTGATTTAAAATTGACAATCAGTACAATTCATATTTTGAAGCTCAGGGAGGTGGAAGGGGTATTGCTTACGAAATTCACTGAATGGAAAGCGAATGTTCGGCACTCCAACCTCCTTTGGTGGACACGGAGGATCCACCTAGGACAGTTGGAAAAGCTTGATTCCAAACTAATGGTGCACATGAGCTCTAGGATCCTGAGAGATCAAATGGTGTATGAACCAATAATTGATGAACGTCTACCATGGGATTTCATCTTCTAACGTTACTCTACTACCTTGTAGAATAGACATCTAGGTCAAAGACTGGAGGAATCGCTCCGTAAGAAAACCACCTGTTTCGGTTTTGATGCCTGCTTAGTATCCCAGCCCTCACACAAATCAAATGATGACAATGTTATATTATGTGTTAAAGTTGTTTAGTTCACAAATGATGTATTTAATTCTCTTTCATAACTATCAACTAGATCTACGTGTATCCAACTGTCATCTTTTCTGATTTGAACTTCAATTGGTTTATTATTAATTGAGAATGTTTAAAGCATCATCTATTAGGGTCGTCATTCCTTCACAATTACTGATATCTCAGAAAGATATTTCTACTGGAGGTACCTGAAAAAAAAACAATGTCGGGCGTGGTCATGACGATCTAGGAGCATGACTGTATAACCCGAGAAACAACCGCTTGTGATCAATCACACACAATATTTTTCCAGGTAGTTCTTAATGTGTGCCTCAGTACGTTCGAGTCTCTGCTGCATATAATGTACATCTGTAAGGAGAGTGAGATATGTTATTTTTAATGTCGGTATCCTCTAATCCCTTCACCGATCGTCGAAAGCCAGCACTCTCTAGTTGCTGGTCGTTTGTGAAAGGTGCCTTACACTCGTCATACGCCCATACAGTCTGCAGTACGACTTCTCCCTTGGACCTCGAATTTATTGCGTTTATTCTTACTATTCTCTAGTTACCTGTATATCGATTACTACTTTGTGATTAATCAGTGTTAATATCTTTGTCTGTTAAGTGGTCAGTTATAATTCAAACGATCGAATGATAATATCTCTGACTGTGACATTAACTTGAATCCTACCGAAAGTGTTAGTTCCCTGAAGACTGAACATACATGTTATGGATAAACGCCCACTAGCATGAAACTCAAGCACAGAGCCTATATCCATAACTTTGTTGAAGTTATTATTTGCTATTATTAGTATGTCTTCAATTGAAGAACATCTGAAACTCAAAACAACTGTCTGTCAACCAACATCAAAGTCAGGATTTTCAATACAAATGTCAAGACAGTTCTACTATATGGGGTGGAAACTTAGAGAACTATGAAAGCCATCATTCAGAAGATACAAGTGTTTATTAACAACTGTCTATGCAAAATACTTCGATTCCATTGGCCAAACAAACCGGATTCCAGCAGAGGAAGAGATCAGAAAGAACCGCTAGAAGTGGATAGAACACACATTAAGGAAAGCACCCAATTAAGTCACAAGACAAGCCCTCATTTGAAATCCTCAAAAGTAAAGGAAGAGAGGAAGACCAAAGAACATATTACGCCGACAAATGGAGAGAGACATGAGAAGAATGAACAACACTGTTATATTAAGTAATAAAGGAGAAAAAGAAGATCCTCAAATACATAACGGAAAACATCAACCCAATTATACTTGATGGAGAAACTCTGGAAGATGTGAAATCTTTCACATACCTGGCAAGCATCATCATTAAACAACAAGGAGGATCAAAAAACACATTACGCCGACAAATGGAGAGAGAGAGAGACATGAGAAGAATGAACAACAATTGGATAGAACTAGAAAGGAAGGAGGAGGATAGAGTAGGTTGGAGAATAATGGTCGGGGGTCTATCCTCCATCAGGAGTAACAGGCTTAAGTAAATAAATAAGTAAGTATGTCTTACTGATATCTTATCATCTAGATATTATCTACAACACACTTGTATTGGTTAATCTTACTTTCAATAATAAAATACTAAGATAGTATTGTTGAAATGATCCAGAAAATTTCTCTCAAAAGACATACAAGAATCAGAAAACATTAAAAAGCATTTCATTCCATCAGCGTTCACTTAAAGTTTAGCCAGAAAACATCAAGGATGTGAAACATCACATATAAAGGTTCTGATTGACTGATGGTTATACTACTACTACTACTACTACTACTACTATATTTAGTAGCATTCTAGAATCTTCGAACAACCCAAGAGCACTTAAAATATTATAAAACCCCTATATTTTCTGTATTAAAATGAACCTTTAGAGTAAAGTACTTTTCGTATACTTTGCCCCCCTCTCTCTCTCTCTCTCTCTCACTGTATAGTTCTAGCTTTGGGGGTTACAAGAAGAATAGCTTAGGAATTAAGTATAGCGTTCAAAATTTACTATCATATAAAAGATTATTGTGATATAATAGAATTATTATGTAACTTAACCCTTACACTTTAAAATACGATAAAAGATGTTACTTAAAGAATTGATTAGAATAACATAGATACTCAAACAATCACATACATATATACATGTATACACTTCATTCTTATTAGCATTCCAATACATCTATACATGTACATGTATATATATACATACATACATATATATCTGAACATTTGGATATCATTTCTATAATCTGTTTGATGGAGAAACTAGTGTGATGTACGCATTTTTTTTTTTTGAATATTTTCACCATGGCAACTATATTTCTATGATTAGAATATTCATTTAGATTCCTCGAATAATGTTAATTCTATTAAGAGGTTAAAATAATCCATAATAATAATATAACACCACTACCATCACCACCACCAACAATAATAATAATAATAGATCGATAAAATGTGAACCAATCAAGAATTAGGGCATTGGTTCAAACACCAATTATGATTTATGTAAAAAATCATTTACAATGATTTATAATACTGATTATTTATATTATTAGTAGTAGTATTTAGATTACATTCAATGATAGGTTAACAATGAAAAATGTAAGCATTTTGTAATATATATACATATATATATCTTCTATGGTCAAAATATTCTCAAGTTTCAATCCACCCTATTATATAAATAAGTGATTTAGTATCTAAGTGGATAACGTGGTGGTGTTTAAAATGAATAGTTAGTGGGTTTAAGATCAACAGTGAATATCAATTCTGAAAGGTAGATATATTCATTGTACATTGTGGATTCCACTGTTAACCATTATCCATATTTGTTTAGAATACTTATAAATTAAGACAATAGATACAAGATGTAAATATACCAATACAAGACTGATCAATTGTAGTGTTAAAGATATGAATGAAAAGATTATCTGCAAAAGAAGATAGTTATTAGCATTCATTAGATTAATGGATAATGTTATGACATTTGAAACGAACGGTACTAGATTCGAGTTCCGGGGGGTGTAGCTGTATCCAACTCATAAGAGGAAGTGTCACGTGTCCTGGATTTGATTGTTAGCCACTGCTCATCTTTGTTTATTTTGTTTATTTGTTTTTATTTTGATTATTTTTAAAATGAAACTTTACATTGTTTATTGATTAAATTCCTATGTGTTTTTGTGTGGTTGTTATACAATGGCTCTATTTATTTGAACATATAAATATTGGTACAAAGGGGCACCGAATACATATGCGCCATACAAGTTACTTGATTTGTATGTGTACCAGAATACTGACTGGATTCTCATACCGAATCAGATAGTTTCCTTAAGAAGGGGCACACTCCGACAGGAAACCCTGTCGATTACCTCCAATCACCATCTAATCTCACAATAGTGTCCGCAGTGTCGAGTCACCTAGACTGGTGGCCACATTGCAACATGATCGATAGCATTCGATCTGCACTAATAATAAGGACTAGACACGCATGACATTGGTTACCACCCAGTGATCAATCAATGGTGAGGATTCATTCTTTCCATAACAAATATTGTAGACAAATTCTTTCAGTTGTTGAGTAGTTCACGCAGAACTACTTAGGGTCGTTAATACCATAGAAGATAAGCTTTAGGTAGCTACACGACTGGTTTATAATCCCCAAATGTACAACATTGTCTACTCATTAAATCATTTGTAATGATCTCTCTTTTTCCTTTATTTTTTTACACCATTGAGTTGATTACTACTATGAATCCGGTGTTCGTCTTGCTGTACTAATGAGGTGTGACAGCCTGGACTGATACATGTATGTGCATGATCCTACGTTGTGAATGACTGACTGACTGAGTCCTGCCTTCTGTAAAAGTTCGATGATTTGTAACTGATGATTGTATAGTCTGTTAATATAGCATCGACATGAATACAACACCCTAATGGTATAGTAATATATTAATATTATTTAATCTTTTTAGTCATCAAGGAAAAAATCACGTGTCTGCTGTCGTCGAGTACAAAGGAAGAATTTTAATGTTATGAAACAACAAGAGATCAAATCAAGATTGAAAACTACTCGAACAGTACTTAAACAAAGTGGACATCGAGAAGTTTCGCCTCCATCTACTAGCGTAATATCGCAAAATTCACAGTAAGTTATTTTTTTCAATGTTATATGACATTTTAATAGGTGACATCATAAATCAATTGAAGCTAGACCGCCATGAAAAACCTTGAAGCACTAGACGTCCATTTCGTCCTAGTATGGGACTCTTCAACAATGTGCATCCATGACACCGCCCCCCCCACTCGAGGTTCGAACCCAGGACCCAACCTTTATACCACTGAGCTAGCATCCAACGGTTTTCCACGTTTTCCATAGTGGCCTAGTTTCAATTGATTCATGATCTCAACTATTAAAAATTACTATAATATCCATAAAACCCCTTCTAATATTATATGACATTGTTGTGTAGCTTTAGACTGACCTTGACCTTCAACACGAGCTTGATTTTTAATAGATTCTAGTTTTATCTGTGGATCTAGGCATGAATTGGGATCATGCAATTTAATTACATGAAGCGTGATAGATGTATATCATTGATCCACTAAACAAACTGAAAATTGGCGATTCTTGGCAAGTTGTTAATTTAAACTTAACCGATCAACGGTTCATTGAATACTGGAAAGCTAAATATGGTGAACGACAAATGAACCAATCAGAATAACAAATATACATTATCAACTTAGGTGTTCTGGAGATTGTCAAGTTTTTTGATTGAGATCATGAACCGATCGATGTTAGAACATCATTGAAAACCTGGAAGCACTGGATGGCCGTTTCGTTCTATTATGGGACTCCTCCGTAGCAGTGCGCATCCACGATCCCGTTCGCTGGATTCGAATCCAGTGCCTTCGGTCTCGCCCACGAACGCTTAACCTACTGGACCACTGAGCTGGCCGGCATCCAACGGTACTAATGTCTAACCTCAACCAATCCACGAAGTTTCACGACCATCTTCCATCGTACTGAGGTAGACACCTGTTTCTACCTGACATGGATCAGCTCCACTGATCACGACTTCTCACCAGAACTCCGAGAATTTTCTCACGAAGCTAGAACGAAACGGCGTCCAGTGCTACCAGGTTTTTCATAGTGGTCTAACATCAATCGGTTCATGATCTCAATAAAAAAAGATACATTATACCTTAAGCTTTATAGTTACTAGTCTGATTGGAGTAAAAAACGATCGATATAGATAATGTAATCAATAGATGGTTAACAACTTTCTATCTCGTTAGAAACTTAATTCTCTTCCCCACTTTTTTGGTTGGATGAACTAGAATGTTTCAGTATTCATTTGTTGATTACAAAACTGTATTCATCTAGATGGAACATGACTTATTATATCGATGTATGTAGTATCACTATGATCCCACAGTGAATTCTTAAATTCATATATCTACTTATCTTATTCTGACGGAGCCTATGAGATACATGTGTACACTTTAAGTAGATACTAGATAAATGTAATGAATGAATGAGGAAGACAAAGTTAGAAAGTTATTTATATTATTTGTGTGTTTAAACTAGATGGTAGTTGGAGGGGGTCAACAGGAAACCCTGGACTCTCAAGATTAAATGTACATCTTGCTGACGAGTGTCAAGTAGCACGAAACCCGTGTCCAGAGTTTTCTGTTGACTACCTCCAACTACCATCTAATCTCAGCATAGTGCACGCAATGTTGAGTCATCTAGACTGGTGACCATATTGCAACTTGGTCGATAGAATTCGATCTGCATTAAGAATGACTTGACACACAAGACATTGATCACCACCCAGTGATCAATCAATTGTGATTTATTTAAAGACATAAAAACTGGTTCAAGGAGGCAACAAATAGATATACGCCACATAAATCATTCGATTTGTGTGAGCGCTAGGATACTGCCCGGGTGCCCAGACCGAAGCAGGTAGTTTCCTTTAAGGAGCCATACTTAGAGCCTTCGACCTAAAGGTCTAATCCATAAAGCAGTGGATCAACGTGAGGAGATACAGTCCCATGGTGGCCGGTGACCAACAACGGGTCCATACGCGATTTGTTTCCTCAAGATCCTGGAGGCCGTGGACACCATTAGTTTGGAATCAGGGTTTTTTAACTCCCCCAGGGTGGACCGTCGTTTTCCATCAACCTGATTAAAGCGCCGGACATTCGCTTTTCGTCTTCTCAATTTCATAAACAACATCCATGGTGCAAGAAAGCAGTGAGTAGGACTTCCTTGACAGTGGTTGTATGCACATGGCCTTGTGAGAGCATTTGGAGAGAGAGAGAGAGAAAGAGCTGGCCCTCCCTGCCGTCGGTTGTACCAGGGCATTTGGAGGCTAACAGTATAAGAATATTCCATTATATGACACTTGTTTATGAAATTGTCATTGTCAGTATTTCAAACTACAATAGCAGCTTTTTATATCATATAAGTTTACTTAATCAGTCACATTTGTTTAATCATTGGTAAATAGGTTGTATTGTAAACTGAATAAGTTAGGATTAGAAAAATAACTCGATACTATTTATAACTGGAATTCGAATAGGATCTTGTCTCCGATCTAAATCTGTTTTGTTGTTCAATAATGGAATTCATGAATCAATTGAAGCTAGAACATCATGGAAGATCTGAAAGCACTGAATAGCCATTTCATCGTATTATGGGACTCTTCAGCAGTGTGCATTCGCGGTCCCGCCTTGTGAAATTCGAAACCAGGACCTATCAGTCTTGCACACGAACGCTTAACCTATAGACCATTGAGCTAGCTGGCATCCAACGGTGTTAATGTCTAACTTTAGTTTGTGCCAAGATAAATTAAGTTTATTCTCACTTTACAATCAGTCAACTAGACAACTCGATTTTTCAAAACTGTTTTATAAAGAACTAAATATCCTAAATTTGGCTGAATAATCTCACAGTAGTTGAGTGCATTCTTAATATCCAAGCGTCCTCTGTAAATAGAGTTTTGGTGCAAATTCTTTAGGTGAGACCACAGGTCCTGGGTTCGATCCCTGAGTGCAGGGTTATGAATGTGCACCGCTGAGTAATCTCACACTGGGATGAAACAGCTATTCAATGTTTCCAGGTTTTGAAGGGTGATCTAACTTAGATCAGTTCATGATTTGAATGAAACTCAACAATCTTCACAACCCTTTACTAACGATTTGATAAGAAAATTAAAAAGTTGGGCGTAAAATGTGTCTAATAAACGTAGACCATATGGACTGATCAATAGAGGTTTGGAGTCTGATGACCACTCTAAGCAACTATGCAGGCATGTTCGGCATGCAATTTTCTCCCTCGAAATGCAAAATGTTGCTTCAGGATTGGGTTGCACCGACACCCGAATTAGTGATAGGGAGTGATGTAGTTGAGCGTGTCGATCGCTTCACTTATCTTGGAAGTCTCATCAGCCCTTGTGGTCTGGTGTGTGACGAAATCTCAGCACGGATACAAAAGGCTCGACTAGATTTTGCCAACGTGCGTCATTTGTGGCGTAGGCGAGATATCCGTCTATCAACTAAAGGACGTGTTTACTGCGCAGCAGTTCGTTCCGTCCTAATTTATGGCAGTGAAATATGGCCAGTAAGAGTAGAGGATATTCGTAGGTTGCTAGTATTTGATCATAGCTGTCTTCGAAACATTGCTCGTATATCCTGGGACCACCGAGTAAGTAACTCAGTTGTTAGAAAACGGGTACTAAGTAAGGATAGCAAATCGATTGATGAAATAATGAAACTTCATCAGTTGAGATGGCTGGGACATGTGTTACGCATGCCCGACCACTGACTGCTCTCGACGTGCGATGTTTTATGGTGTAGGAGTAGGTTGGAAGAAAGCTCGGAGTGGCCAGACCAAAATATGGCACAAATCCATGAAGTCACTGAAAAGTGGACTGAGCCATGTTGGTAGATGTAGACTACCTGGTTGGGGGCCGCGAGACGATAGCAATCGATGGTTAGAGATCTTGAATAACATGGCTCAAAATCATTTGCTATAGTGTGCGCAAGTGCATCCACTCTTTGTGTTCTCTCAAACTCTAATCTTCTGAATTCTTCATGTCCCTTATTTTCTTTACAAATCTATTTCACTGGATTATACCCCTTGAATAACATCATCAAACCCTAATGTTCCCTATCACTACTTATACTTTCACTACCTCTACCACTATGGGATTTGAATCGATAACTGAATCTCTGTGCTAGTGTGGTATGGCGACTTGAACCGATGTACGTACGTACGAAGTTCCACGTTGTTACTGACTGACTGACTGACTGGAGCTAGTAACTGGTTGTAAATCAGTTTCTTGTCTAACTACAACCTACACTCTCGCATTGGTAATCTAGTATTACTAAATGAGGAGTATTTTGATCAGTTCCTTAGAAATATGTTCCTCATTATGCTTCAGTACAAAAGGAGACTTAGCTACGAGAGGAAAGTTGAAGTTACGTTAATCAATTTGTAATCTTCATGATAAGCAAATGGTTAAATCTCGGTTGAACACTTTACAGGACTAATTATAGTATAGATTGTCTCATTCACATATTCAGTCAGTTATACAATAGACCAGTTCTCTAGGATCTATTCAGTTACAGTTTAAGGATCAGTTTCGTATGTTCGTTGTCAGTTCACCCACAATAGTTATTCCACCAATTCTATCAAGTTGTTATTGCATATTGAACAGTCGTTTTGGCTAACTGTATTTCAGATATTTTAGCGGTTTTCACTAACTATGAGCAGGCTAAGGTTATCCGTAACACTTTTAATGCTTACTAAGTGTAGGGTATCCGTCACTTTTGACCATCATTTAGTTCATTTAGTAGGTAACTACTCCATATTACAGTTTAGTTTTTGTTTAACATGTCATTTTTAAGCTCTAAATCTCGTAATGTTCGTGTTCCTCACTCGGAATGTTCTGTTGTGCTACATTGTACATGTTCTCAGACGACAGCTACAAACAACTCCAAACTCTTGAAATCAAATTTTTGAAGAAACTTCTCGTCAATATCAAGTAACCTTCCACCAAATGAACTGACAAACAACTCAAAGTCCTGGATATAAAACAGTTATTAGAGATAGAGAATGTTGCCAATAGCCACATCATTGATATTAATCAGTAGTTGCGTTATTTATTTATTTCAACACATAAATATTGGTACCAAGGGGTACCGAATACATATGTGCCACATAAATCATTCGATTTGTGTATAGGATGTGATACTGCCCGAGTATCCAGAGTGAAGCAGGTGGTTTCCTTAAAGAGGGGCACACTGGGAGCCTTCGACCTAAAGGTCTAATCCATAAGACAGTAGAGCAACGTCAGGAGATTCAGTCCCATAGTAGCCGGTGACCAACAATAGGTTCATAAGCGATTTATTTCCTCAGGATCCTGGAGCCCATGTGCACCATTAGTTTGGAATGAGGGTTTACCAACCTCCCTAAACGGATCCTCTATATCCACATAGTTGCGCTAAATGAATAACAAGATACTAAGAATTATCAATGTTCTTTAGAATTTTTAAAGTTCTTATTCATTGATATCTGTTTACAGATTACAACTACTTTTAAGCTATAAATAGTTCATTCAAATTCAGATTCAGATTTGTATAGTAAGGACAGAAAGCCTATGGCCTATGTTATTCCTTTTCTAGTATGCTTCTGTGAGTGTCCAGACTTCTCTTGAAAGAGTCAATTGAAGGTGTGGACACCACTGTTTCGAGCAGCAGGTTCCAAGTATTGATGACTCGATGTGAAAACCTGTATGCCACGGGTATTTTGTTCGTTTGTCGGCTTTTCTACTCGCTTCCTATGTCCTCTGAGATGTCCCGATCTAGTGGGTAGAATAAGAGAGAATAAGTTAGGTCCAAAATCATTTTTCAGTGTTCTGTACATCAATATTAGATCTCCCCTTAATCTGCGATAGAACAGGGTGAAGAGATCTAGCTTTTCAAGCCGCTCTTTGTATGGTAAACCCCGGAGTTCATTAATCTTTTTTTTGTGTAGATCAACTGGTCTAGTTTATGATGAACGTATGCTTAAACATAAACATGAATGGTTTATTGGAGAACAAGAAAGTCCACGTCGTATTCAACAAGCATTTCATCGTTGTGTAGAAGAAAATTTAGTTTCACGATGTATACGAGTACCGGTAAGTTAGATGTTTTACAAGTTAATATAGACAATTTTATATAACTTATCATTTCATCGTAAGCAAAGATAGATAGTGACTAGCATTTGAATCCAGGACTCGCGTTTCGTCCTATTCAGGACTCGTCATCTGGATGTACCTGCATCTCAGACTCGTTGATATTCACTCTTGAACTCGAACCCAGTACCTTCCACTACAAACACCTTCCTCTTTCTTCTAGGGGTCGACTGGATAATGAAGACCTCGACATCTGAAGGAAAACACGGCATACAATGGACAGCTCAGAATCAATTAGACTATTTGGACTTCGCAGATGACCTAGCCCTCCTATCACATACACACGAAGAAATGCAAATAAAGACAGCCAGCGTAGCAGCAATCTCTGCATCAGTGGGCCTCAACATACACAAAGGGAAAACCAAAGTCCTCAAATACAACACGGAAAACAGCAATCCAACCACTCTTGATGGCGAAAATCTGGAAGATGTAGAATCCTTCACATACCTGGGAAGCATCATCGATGAACAAGGAGGTTCAGATGCAGACGTCAAGGCGAGGATTGGCAAAGCAAGAGCGGCATTCCTTCAATTAAAGAACATATAGAACTCAAAACAACTTTCAACCAATATCAAAGTCAGAATCTTCAATACGAACGTCAAGGCAGTTCTACTGTACGGAGCTGAAAATTGGAGAACTAGAACAACCACCATCAAGAAGGTACAGGTATTTATCAATAGCTGTCTACGCAAGATACTCAACATCCATTGGCCGGATACCATCAGTAACAGCCTACTGTGTGAAAGAACCAACCAGTTTCCAACCGAAGAAGAAATTAGGAAAAGACGATAGGACATACATCACAACGCAAGCTCTAACTTGAAATTCTGAAGGGAAGAGGAAAAGAGGAAGGCCAAAGAACACATTATGTCGGGAAATAGAAGCGGATATGAAAAGGATGAATAACAACTGGAAAGAGCTAGAAAGGACTGTCCAGAACCGGGTTGGATGGAGAATGCTGGTGGTCGGTCGATACTCCTTCGCGAGGAGTAATAGGCGTAAGTAAGTAAGTAACAAACACCATCGTGTTATTCACTTAGCTACTGAGTCCTGATAGCCACTTGCTTGTGCAATGAGGGTGAAGTTTAAATTCACTCGGTATGGATTGCTTGCAGATCTAAACATCAATGAAAAGAGTCAAGTAAACAATACCAAGTGAATTTATCATTTCATCTATTTATACTACCTAAAATTGGTGTTGTATTCTCAAAAATATGATTCAAATCTGAAGTAAACAAAAGTCAGATATAAGGGAGTAACATATAAGAATGATGATTTACGAGATGAGTGAGCGTGAATTTCGCAAAAGTATCTAAATAACGCTATGAGTTAAGTAATTTCAACAGCCAAAATAGATATACCATAAGACATGAAGAAAGTGAAATCATAGGTGATGTGCTTGAAGGTGTTCGGTAGGAAACACTGGTAGTTCTAAGCTTCGTGATGGTCAGTAATCATTAGGAAGTCCTATTTGCCGTCTCGGAGGAACCGATTTCGCCTATGGAATTCAAACCCGTATAAGCCATCTTCATACCCCAAATGCCTTGGTACGGGCGAGAGTGGTGAGAGTCCGCTCTCCCATTCGAAATGCTCTCACATGGCCATGCGTATATAGCCTCTGCCAGGGAAGTCCTACTCACTGCCTTCTCGTGGCACTATTGTTGTTTACGAAAATGAGAGGACGAAAAGCGAATGTCCGGCGCTTTAACCGGATCCCAAACCAATGATGCACATGGGCTAGCTCCAGTATCCTTAAGGAACAAATGGCGTATGAACCAATTGTCGGTCACCGATTACCATGGGACTGCATCTTACGCTGCTCCACTACCTTATGGGTCAGATCTTCAGGTCGAAGGCTCGGGGTGTGGCCCCCTCGGAAAACCACCTGCTTCTGTTTAAGCACCCGGGTAGTATCACAGCCCTCACACATATCAAATGAGATCTGTGTAGCGCATATGTATTTGGTGCCTCCTTGTCCCAATATCTATATGTTAAAATAAATAAATAAAGACTACTTAGCTGCTTGGGTTACGAGTTACCTTCAATAGGATTATTTTTCAGTCCATTGATAGTCGACATGATGTTAGCACTACGAAATCATTGTAAATCATTAACAAGTAAACAAGCTTAGCTCTATTACAGTCCACTCAAATTAATTCTAGTAATATGTTTAAATTAAATAATGCATCATCCTTTCGACTTCAACTTCCAGTCTACGAAAAGTTTTATACTGTCATCCATTCAACTATGGTTTCTTACTTAAACTCTACTAATCACACACTGTCCTTCATAGACAACTCAGTATAATCTGTCTTAAGAGTTCCATATGATGCTGACAATTTTCTCAGGAACTCAAACTATAGTGTTGAAGAAGTTTCCATAATGTTCTCTTATCCACATTGTCAATTACTTTCTCATAATCAAGGACGTTGATGTGTAGTGACGAGTTGTATCCAATTGATTGCTCAGCGATAATCCGTAGTATTGTGATTTGATTTGTGCACGACCGATCCTTAAAGAATCTAGCCTATTGATCTGGAAACTGGAAGTCTAATGAGTCTTTCATCCGGTTCAACAACACACTGTTGAAAACTTTTCCAGGTATTGACAGAAGTGTGATGCCTCTGTGGTTCTTGTATTTACTCAGATCTCCTTTCTTTGGTATCTTGATGAGATTTCATTCTTTTCAGTCTGTCGGTGGCACTTGTTCCCCCTCCCGAATCTTCCTGAATAGAATGTGGATCATGTTTAAAGTTGATTCTATATCTGACTTTAGTGCTTCAGCTGGTATGTTGTCAGGTCCTGCTGTTTTCCCGCTCTTGATTTGTCTGACGGCCATCTTGATTTCTTCCGTCGTTGGTGAAGTGACATTTATCGGAAGATCTATAGGTGCTACTTTGATGTTCGGTAGATTCATTGGTGCTGGCCTATTCAAGAGTTCCTCAAAGTGTTCTACTCATCTGTTTCTCTGCTCTTAAATCTTAGTGATTGGCTTGCCTTCTTTGTCCTTGACTGGTCTCTCTGGTTTACTATATTTCCCTGCAAGTTTCTTCTTTGTGTCATAAAATTGTTTCATATTTCCTTCTCTTGCAGCTCATCCCTCTATTATTGACAGATCATCCACATATTTCCGTTTGTCAGCACATTTTCACTCGGTTCTTTGCTTCTGTGTATTCAGCTTGTGGCTTGACTTTCCCTATTCTTGTTTTGCTGTTGTTAACTGCTGTCTTCTTGTTCTTCCTTTCTTGAATCTTGTTCAGGGTTTTGATAGAGATCCATTCCTTACGATGATGCTTCTTGTGGTTCAGAACCTCTTGACACGTTGAAGTTAGTGCTTCTTTGATCCCTTTCCAATTGTCCTTCATAGTAGTTCCTTTTTCTCTGAGTAAATCTTGTATGGCTTGGAACTTGTTGTTGTGAGCTATCTTGAATTGGTTGAGTTTATCAGTATCACTAAGGAAGGCTGTATTGGACCTTTGTAGTTGTGTTTCTCCAGTTTTCCAATGGTTCTTTAGCTTCAGTTTCATCTTAGCCACAACCAAGTGGTGATCTGAAGCTATGTCACCAACTCTCTTGATTCTCACATCTCTCATTGATCTTCTGAGTTCCTTAATGATGCTAATATGATCGATCTGGTTCTCTGTAGTGTGACTCCGTGAGACCTATGTGGCTTTGTGTATGAGTTTTTTGGGGGGATATTGTGGCTCCTATAACCATTTTGTTGAATTTACATAAATTTGCAAATGCGTCACTAATCTCGTTCATTATTAATCATCATCAAAGGAATTTGACTAAACTACATTCAATTCAATACATTTATGACAGATTCTATCAAAACTTCAATTGATACCGACTAAGAAACTATTCAACAGTAAAGAATGTTATGTAATCTTTAAACTGTGTCATATTACATCAATGTCAAATGATAGTTGATTAGTAGTATCAGAAGGGTTTTTATGGATATTATAGTAATTTTAATAGTTGAGATAATGAGTTCATTGCAGCTAGACCATCATGGAAAACCTAGAAGCACTGAATGGCCGTTTCGTCCTGTTGTGGGACTCCTCATCAGTGCGCATCCACCATTCTGCCTCGCAGGATTCGAACCTAGAACCTATCGGTCTTGTGTGCAAGACGTTTCAAATATTATTTCTAACATCAAGGAAATTTCCATATTTTTGATTGAGATCATGAACCGATTGATGTCAGACCACCATTGAAAACCTGGAAGCACTGGATGGCCGTTTCGTCTTATTGTGGGACTCCACAGCAGTGCGAATCCACGATCTCACTTCGTGGATTTGTTGAGGTTAGACATTAACACCGTTGGATGCCGGCTCAGTGGTCGAGTAGGTTAAGCATTCGCGCGAGAGAAGTCGTGGATGCGCAGTGCCACGGAGGAGTCCCACAATAGGACGGAAAGGCCGTTCAGTGCTCCCAGGTTCTCAATGGCAGTCTTACATCAATAGGTTCATGATCTCAATCAAAAACTTGACAATCTCCACAACGTCTAAATTGAAAATTCCCATATTCTCACAGATTCTAAAGTTTATTACAAAGTATGTTAACCAGATCAAATCTTATATAAGAAACATACGTGACATACTAAAGTTTGTTACTAGTACAAGAATTTCTGAGTTGATCATAGGTTGATTGTAGTTAGAGAACCATTGGAAACCAATAAAGACTAGATAGGAGTTTCAGCTTTTCAACAATGTCGATCCACAATCTATATTCAACGACTGAAACTGGAACATTCAGGTTTATTAGTGACTGCTTAACCTTCAAACCATTGAGTTACCGGTGTTATCGGTCACTTCTTAGACAGGAAAAGACATTTAATCATTTACAAATGTTTGGAAACTTTATTGAATTAGAAACAGTTGAAACTTTAGCAATTTTTCCAGTATAGTGTTAGCAGCATTCACGAAACTCTGAATATC